TAGCTTTCCTGAGAGGCCCAACAGAGTACTTTTACCTTCGTATCCTATTCACCGGAAGACTAAAACAGAACCCAGTTTACAAAACGTACTAGTACTCGTATTTTATATTTTGGATGACGGCGAAGTTCAAAATAATAGTCTTAAACATGTCACAACATCGTCAAAAAAAATAAACTTAAAGTATACAGTATTCAAATAGTACGAAGTACTTCATAGTATTCCTGACAAATGAATAACACTCCATGATTTATTTAATCCGTCTTGCAGTGCATACATTCATTTATCTCCTTTCCCTCGCACTACATGTTTCGGCATAATAATGCCATCTTCAGGTGCTTACTTGTCCACGTCAAACCAGTTCATTGCATGCCATGTGAGAACACACACACATACCCAGGAAGCCCAACAGTATAACACACGCAGTCGCAGGAGCACGACACAACAAAAGCACAACACACAAGATAGTGAAGGAGTGCTCCAACAAAGGAGAATGGGCGTGACTGACGTAGTGAGGGGCGACGTAGCGATGTGGTATCCTGAACAATTTTAATATTTTAACCGTTGACAATGTATATGATAGANACATGAATAACACTCATTACGTTGCCGACTACTGCCTGTTGGACAGTATGCCTTACCGCTCAGCTATACCAATTACGTTCCCGGGTAAGGAAATACGTTGGCACGTACAATGCAATCTCTTGCTGAATTTCGGGATCAGACTTTTTTATCGTAAGGCTTAATGAATAGTTTTCCCCCTTGGCACTACAGCCCCAGTGGGCCTAGGCCTACCTCCATGAACTTCTCCGTTCACTTCGGTTTTTCTAGATCTTAGACATTCGGTAGGACTCCTTGGGCGGGTGATCAGCTCGTCGCAAGGCCTCTACCTGTACACAAACACGGAAAAACGAACACAAGCATCCATGCCCTCAGTGGAATTCGAACCCACGATCCCGGCTTCCGAGGGAGCGAGGACAGTGCATGCCTTAGACCGCTCGGCTACCGTGACCGGCTAATGAATAGAGTTAGTTGACAGAATTAACTGTTCGATATGCCTCGTTAAAAATGCCAGAAGACTGTAATCTTGAAAGTTGATCTGAACGACTTTGATAAAATTAGATTAGATAACATTAATGAGGTCTAAGGCTAAGGCACAAAATATTTCCTTCGCTACGGCTTTCTTAACACTGTAGTGGCACCTGTAGCATGCTGACCCGTTGCTAAGCAGTGACTCTGTAAACAACGCCCGCTTTTAGGCAACAGACTCCTAACATGCACCAATGGACTAACAGAGGAACGATGCTTTCTGTGCGGCCCGTCCCGAGATGTTATAAGCGGGCAATTAGTGAGAGTTAGTGCAGTGCAGTGCAGTGCAGTGCAGGGAAGTGAAAGAGTTGGTTGGCGAGTTAGAGAACCGCAGTTCAGTCCTTATGAGCGTTTGTTGCTAGAAGCTGACAGCTGAGGCACGTGGATAATTCGGAAACCCTGAGAAAGGGGAAAGTCCGCCGTTGAAAGCCGTTACCTGGTAATGACTTGTGAAGACACAGAAGACAGAAGACTCAGTATGTGCTGCAGTGAACTTCATAGCGTGTGAATTAGCGATAGCGCTATAGCTGCTTGCAGTTACGATCTGTGAGTGATCAATAAATCCAATTACCAATCCAAACCCCGTCTGTGGTCACTCATACACGTGACAATATAAATGAGAATCGATGGTATTAAATTATCGAAAAACGCTGTGCCACATTTATATTGACTGAGGAACTGAAACGGCTGATGAGACGGATTCGACTCGGATTCTTTCAATTGGAAAATAAAACATATTTAAAAAAACACACCTTCATAGAGACACGAACGCCAGGGCTAAGAGGATCAACACATGGCTTCGAATGTAGGTCTTGTAACTGAGAAACTACTTTCGTGATCTCTGACGAAGCTCCACCACTCCCGATTTCTGTATTATTGGCAACACTGGTTTGCTTGTGGTCACTCTGTCACGTGAGTACGGGCCTACCGCGGTTCTGCTGACGTCAATGGAGAGAGGCTCTAATGGATACGTGTGCCCCGAGTGTTTAACTGAAGTGAAAGAAGCAGCCAATAACTTTCAGGTTACTGAATTAGATGAACAATTATATCCCCTCACTGCGTAATGGAGAAATAAAATATAACAAAAACTGCATGTTATTTGCATTCATAGAAATGAGGCAATGAGCATGGGAAAATGGGAAATATGAGAGCCAACCATTGAACCACGATTTTCTGTGTGCTCCTATTTTTGTGGCAGCATGAATACATTTTTATTTTTGTTCCTATCCGTTTACTATAAACTGGGCTCTTGAAAAGTAGCCTATCCTACAGCAAAAACAGCTCGTAGTCCAACGGACAAGGTGTTTTTAGCATGTTTCTCTTATTTTGAAACAATGAAAGTAGGCTTATGCCATCTCCATGCTGTCTGTGTTCCCCCTTCCATTAACTTTCGAATGCCTGAACCAATCTTTATGGAACCTGGTATGTATATCATGGCACCTGAGCCCATATCAATGCCGTAAAAAGAGGTAACGGTAAAGCTATCCCTGTGCCAGGCCTCGGAGGTCCATAGAGCTGTGAGACGTCGAGGCTCCCACATTTTCTAGACACACGGTTCACATATGGCGGTGAGGTTGCCACCCTCACGCGCCTGTCGCCCTTTACCCTCCAGGAAGATTCCTGGTACTCATTTCTGTTAGTGGCTGAGTCGACCCCAGGGCCATAGTGCGGCTGGAAGGATTAGGTCAACTAAAAACCAGCTCATCGGGAATCGAACCCGCGACCTATTGGCTTGCAGCATAGTGCCTCAACCAGATATGCTAACGCGTGCCCCCCATATGAATGGTGTACTTCATAAATCTCTCCCATCACTGTGTCCGTATGTGTATCTCCTATCGTTGCTAGGCAACGGCTAGGTAAAAGCATTACCGCAGCAAAGAATGCACACGCAAAAATATATATACTCGTACTGTTGGACACGTCGTTTTCTATGCGATCCGTGTCGTATCAAGTAAAGTAGATGATCAGTTCTTCCCAGAACTTGTTTACACTTGGCGTTTTCATGACGGTATACGGGAGTGCCGGGATTTGGTCTCCCCTGAAGCATAACAGACACACGTGAAGGATTTGCCACGCAGCATCACCAACGTGTTCAACACACTGTCATAGCTACAAGGTGCAGTGCATTAGTATGTGTATTCTGTACATTCTTACAAGGGTAGATACGTGAAGCAATCCAGCACCCTTATATACACTGGTGAAAGCGAACATTATGGCGCAACACGTCATGTGGAATGAAAACTGTCTCCGTTTTCACTGAGATGTGTTGCCAGCTGTTGAAAGTTGCAAAGGTTGTTCCAGAACATCAAGTTCTGTGTATTGACATTTTTTATACACAGGGTGTTATTATTTAGAATAAAAGAAAATTACATCTGTTTTCTGTGAAGACACTGAAATGACAAAACAAATTACGAGGTATACACTAAAATATCAGGAAATTAAATGCATGAAGCGATGAAAGAATTATGCAGAACCTAAGCATAACTTGTGAAATCTGACAGTTCTCACAACGGTTATTATGAAGATTATGGTCTTACGAAAGTGACGCCATGCAGTTTGGTAGATAGGTCCCAACATTTCGGAGAAATGTACTCATCTTCAGGCCAGAAAATGGAGGTAGCACATTCCTTCGAAACGCTGGTACCTATCCACCATAGTGCCTACGTCAACAACTTAAGTTTTGGCCTTCCTAGTGGTCTTTTGATTTCTGACTTTCCCACCAATATCCTATATCCTTCCTCTTCTCCCCATTCGTGCTACATTCCTCGTCCATCTCATCCTCCTTGACGTGCTCATTCTAATTATACTTGGGGACGAGTACAGGTTACGAAGCGCCTCATTATGCAGTTTTCACAAACCTCCCGTCAGTTCACCTCTCTTCGGTCCAAATACTCACCTCAACACCCTCAGTCTATGTTCCTCCCTTAATGTCACAGGTCAAGTTTCACGTCCATAGAGAACCACAGACAAAATTGTAGTTTTGTATATTATAATTTTTACGTTTTTAGACAGCAGACAATAACTTAAATACACAAAGAATATCCATTGTGCAAAAAAAGTACAGTTAAAATACGCACAGAATTTCTAACGAACTGCATGAAGCAGAAGCTAACACTAGCTAAATTAGTCGAGAAATTCCCGGCCTATTATGGAATCCGAAGGTTCAGCATTGTGCTTGCAAGATCTAGAAAAATCTGTATTTCCAGAAGGTAACAATTCAGCCAATAAAAACCGAGGATGCACTGTCAATTATTTTTAATAAGTAATAGAGAAATTGCAGGTACCTGAATCTGTATAACAGTGAAAGCAAAACATATTTATATACTGACACATCACAAAAGCGAGTTAATTACAAATTTAGTTACGCTGGAGGAGCTTCATAACGTGTATTCTTCTCCAAGTATAATTCGAATGATCAAGTCAAGAAGGATGTGACGGGCAGGGCATGTAGCACGAATGGGGGAGATGAATGCATATAGGATATTGGTGGGAAAGCCAGAAGGAAATAGACCACTGGGAAGACAAATGCGTAGGTGGGTGGCCAATAGTAAAATGGATCTTAAGAGAGAGATAGGATGGGATGGATTGGACTGATCTGGCGCAGGAGAGGGACCAGTGGAGGGCTCTTGTGAACACGGTAATGAACCTTCGGGTTCCAAAAAACACTGCGAAGTTCTTGAATAGCTGCAAAATTGGCGGCTCCTCCGAAGGGCTCAGCTCCATGAGTAGCTAAGTAGTTCATACAAACATAAATGACCTATCACCATGCATTTCTTTTGTGCTTAATCTGCCAGAAAAGAACTAGATATCGTCATTCAGTAAGGGGCACATTAAACCCACAGCCCCCTACCATGGCTCCGTACATATTGATATTAATGTGCCGGTTGCTCGCTCTACAGAAAGCTTTATCCTACCTGTTGAAGCTTGCGACACTGATGCTGAATCGAACCTCGACCCACCAACACCATACAAGCTGTTGCTCTGATCACAGAAACTGTGATTGCCGATACTGCTGGAAGGTGATGATCCGCCGGCTGTCATGGCACTGCAGTCTATGGTCGTCCTGCCATCAGTTGCCATGTGACCATCTGAACCGGAGTAGATGGACTCATAGCAATTGCTCACAGACGCCACGTCGTCCGACATCCTTAGCGTCGTCACTGATTTGACGTCGTCGTATATGTTGGATTCTGCATCCTCGTGGGAATTATCCTCACCGATACACTGGTAACCCTCACCGTCACAATCATCATAGTTCTGGTCCAATGAAGGATCCGTGGAACCGTGGCAGTAGTCATAACCACTCTCTGTTCCATCGCCGTCGGCACAGTTACTGCAAAACAGAGCTTCTTAAGACTCCATGACCACTTTTATCCTTCTCTATCAGTTAGAACAAACTGCGGCCCTGACACAAACCGAAATAAAACAGAAAAAGAACGGGAAATGCATCATTGCGTATGAAATTAAAATTGTGTCTTCGAACCCTTGTGGAGGAGGAGCTGAATACCTCCACCGTGAACCTGCGAGTCGGAGGAGGCGACGAAAAGGGGAAGTCTCAAATCTGAGACAGTAAAATATGGTCGGGAGTCCCGAGAAAGACTGCGCTGGCAAGGGGAGCACTATACAAAAGAAATACCAGTCCTCTAGTCAGAGATGGCGCCCCACAAAAAACAAGACCTTAACTGTCCAACAGTAATACATATTTGGTCATGAGCCCCAGATGGGCTCGACACCAAGCCTTAGTGACTGACTGGCTGGCTGTCAGTAGCAATGTGACTTTTACTTTGACTTTGTTTCTATGGTTTACGCATGGTTCCCATCTGCTTTCTCAGTAATGATACCGAGCGGATATCAGGTGCTAGATTTTGGTAATTCTGGATTAACGCTTTCGAAAGGGCATTTGTAGACAGATCTGTTGTTTAATAGACTAGTGACTTTCTCGAAATCACCCCAATATTAAGCAAATATTGTATACGACATAAGACACGCATTTTATGGATACCTAAAACTATAATTAAAGCTCCTTTTCTCTCATGTGAAATGCCACAAAATGCATTTACGTCCGAAAGTAATGTCAGACTTAAAATGCATTAAAACGAACGGAACGGACACATGGTAACAATCATACAATACAAACGAAGCGTATCAAGTTCCACCAAAATCTGACAGTTCTATTAATTTGGTCAAACTAACGAAGTTACGCCATTAAATTAACTCGACGAAATGTAGCGTAGGCCTACATTACCGAGTATCGAGAGTGAAATCTGTCAGGCACTTTGAACGTTACTTCTTTTGGCTTATTTTGGACTTCACCCATCGTCTGGTATGTAAAAGACAAAAAACCACGACGTTTCGGAGGCTGGATGTCTCCGTCTTCAGGAGTGATTGGTCCAGTGATTGAGACTAGCTCTTTCTAAGGGGCCCAACTGAGTAGGATTATCCTTCCCTATCCACCTGAAGACGGAGACAGATCCAGCCTCCGAAACGTCGTGGTTTTTTGTCTTTTACATACCAGACGATGGGTGACGTCCAAAATAAGCCAAAAGAAGTACAGTATAGACCATCATCAGAATCCTTTCAAGTCTAACTTTGAACGTTGTTATTTAATCAGACTTCTTGCGTTTCGAAATTACAAAACAAATGCTCAGACATCAGCAGGTTGGCCACATGCGAGTATTATTGACTGCGTACTTTCTCACTAATATCACATTTATTGTAGTCACCCTGACAACTCACCTGACTGAAACTGTAACTTGAGGGATCCTTGGAGACTGTTTCTCTTCATTGACGGGAGGACCTACGTCATCGTACACGTCATCATCTTGTGAGTCAACCATAGAATACGGATGTATGGAAGAAGTTTCATTAGAAACAGCAAACGGCGGATAAACATCATCATATATATAATCAGTATTGTCATTTGTTTCATGCACAGAACCCTCCGGACTTGCAGATCCAGAGTCTTTGTTTTCTGGTACAGGTACGGTGGACTGGTCATCTTGTGTTCGAGTGCTGGTGCCTGGTGGTGATGCTCCCCACAGGAAAGATCTATTCGGGGCCATTAATTCTCTGTCTGTTTGTTGCGAGTTCTCAGTTTCCTGTATCGTGGAAATCTTATTTATTGAGGATTCTGATAATGCTGGTGTTCTCTGTGGAAATGCAAGTTTATCATATCGAGCGGAAGTATTTTCGGCCACAAGGACGTTGCTTACAGTTCTATAAATATTCTCCGAACTGGATATTACCTTCGCATAACTAGAATCCTTACTGCTCTTTTTAGAAAAAGGTACACTTTTACGAATTTGTTCTCCTGTCACTTTCTTGACCGGCACTGCAGGTTTGCTTTTTGTTTGTTTCTGTTCCTTTTCGTTCTGTCCCGAACTTCCCTTAACTGTAACCACTGTAACATTTTGATTACTTTTACCCTGAATATTGTGTTTCACACAAACATTTTCTTTTCCTTCTTCACAATTACCACGTGGTAATTCCGATGTTAACGTTTGGCAGTGATTGGTTTGGGTACTGATACTGTCTTCAACCTCTTTGGGAGTTCGGCCCCCATTGCATACGTCTTCGCAGTCTAGAGACACGCGCACTAAAGTGGTATCCCGTTTAAATATAACTCTAGGATATTTCGGTTCTTTCCTAGCGTCAGCACTCTCTGGTGACTGTTTTGACGCATCTACGCTACAGTCCCTTACAATGATTTTCTTTCCTGCTGAAACCACTGCACTATTTTTTGCCGACGGAGACGCCGTAGCGTTCTCTTCGAATATCTGAATTGCAGCTTTTACGCTGCCACTTTTTGATCCAACAGCTAATGGTCGGTATGGCACGTTGATCCTTCGTTTGCACTCCTTCGTATTGCTGTTATTAGAAGGCTTCTGACTATTGTCTGTTTCCAGTACAGGTTGCCTGGCCGACGAATGTTTTCTAAGTGCAACACCCAAAGATGCAACCTTTGCATTATTCCCATGGTTTGATAACGAACTCTCTCGTTTTGAATTACTGCTGTTTCTTCTGCAGACTGCCATTTTTTCTGTTGGTGGTTGTTTCTTGGATGCAGTAGTTATCGACCCTGCTCCGAGTTGGGGAATCACCAAGAGCTTCTTCTTGGAATCATTTTGGACAATCTCAACGCTTCGCTGTTCTTTATTTTCAAGAATTATCGCATTAAACTTGGAAGCTAGAGCGGCCACCTTGCTGGACAAGTTAGGAGTCCTCGCGTCTGCAAGTAGTCCCTTATTCAGCGTCGAGGAGCGCCTAGATCCTGATGACGACATGCACGATGAAGATAACCTCCCGTTATTAGAACTGCTGCGCACTTTGAAACTTACTTTCCGAGGACTTTCCTTTGTATTCGAACTACCCCGTTTACTCTCTAATTTGGGGCCATCTTCTTGCGACTCGGTAGCAATTTTTTTCACAGGGCCTTCGTTTCTGCAGTTCTTTACTTTGGAGTGAACATTCTTACGCTCCTTTCCATAATTCCTGTTCTCTACATTGCCTTCAATGCGTATCCTTAATTCCTCCACTCTACGAATTGCAGGAATTTTGTAATGAACGTTCGTAACAGGGTCGCCAATCACTGTGTTCCTATCAGTGTTCACTTCAAACTGTTTTAATGAAAAATCTTCACTCTGTACCATCCAGTCATTATCTACGTTCGTCATATTTGAACCAGATAACTTCCCTTTTATCTCCATGGAATCGTTATCTAACTGATGGGGTGATATCTCTGACTCCGTTGAGTCTATACCATCAGCAAAAAGATCGATAGCAGCGTGGCTCTCACTAACTGAGTCATCCACCAAAACAGATAGGTTTCCAATTCCCACACTCCCAGACTCCTCATTATCATTTTCGGCACCTGACGTCATCTTCTTACACAATTTGTCGTTTATTCGAAATTCTATAAACCGACTTAGAAAATTTGACTTTCCACATATAACTTTTCTCTCTTGTTGATGAGAATTTGAATGTTTATTGTCCAGTGTATGGTTCCTGGCTGCAGAGTTGACACTGTCAGCAGAAACACCAGTTCTACTGTCCAGAGATCTCCAATTATGTAAGGAAGTTTGGGCCGATGCCTTTAATTGGCCATCGGCGGAGATTGAACTAGAAATATGTTTCGCTCCCTTCAACACCATCATCACCCCGTCCTCCTCTCCTGTTGTTAGCTTCTTTGCCCTCATCCTGTGAACCAGCGGCAGAAGGCGAAACGGTTGAAGCCATCCACTTCTCTTTACAGAAACGTCTGCAGAGGAAATCGATCGGATGAGTCAGCCATCCTGCAACAAGAAAGCACTTGCTGTACATTCTATGGAATAATGAGTGACCCAAGCATGTTGTATCCCAAAATATTAAACTAAATTAATAAGCTATTAAAAAAATCCAGTTGACTGCGCGCAACAATGAACTAACTCGACAAGCAAACAATCCCTACACCAAAATTTTACGCCAGGGGAAAAAAAGTCTGCTAAAGAAGAAAGCATCTACATGGCGCCATATCCCAGAAGACTTCTTTGTTCATAGTCACCGTCGTGAAAACCTCAACTCTTACAAAGTCTTGTAAAGTTCCCCAGCCAGATCAGACACTGTCATCTTGCAGGAACAGAGGGGGTTTTTAAGTGATATAGTGACATTGTCTTGATAATGGCAGATACATTAAGCATCTGAAAATACCACTTCATCCTTCATGTTGTGCAAGAGGTAAAATATTTTCCATGTCACAGATGAAACTATAAGGTATATGGTAGAAATGTAAGATTTGATGTTTTCACGGCGGTGACTATGAAGAATGTACGTGTATAGGCCCCCTAAAGCATAATAGACCATTGAAGGTCGCAGTGCTAGGGCCAGTTTTATGGCTCATCCTTCATACTCATGGGCCCCCTTAGAAAGTGGTTCTCAATCTTTGTGAGGCCGCGACCCTGTAAATTCATTTTTCTATAGGAAGAGGGCCTGTGGGTTGAGAAACACTGGTATAAGGCACCAAATGTCTTCTCCGGCTGAAACACTGGAATCATGGACTCGAATCCCACTCAAGGCATTCATGTCTGTGTTTCTTCTGTGTTTGTGTTGTCTGGTGTAGGCAGGGGCTTTACGAGGGGCTGACCACCCGTCGAAGAGTCCTACCGAGTCCGATTAATAATTTCAAAATTATTTTTGAATGGGAGAGATTAATCCGTTAATGGGAAGGAAAACCTCGTGCAGTTAACAAGAAAATTTGCATTTAGGACAGTGCCAGAGGAGTACCAGACTAAACTCTTACCATGATCCAGATTGATAAACTGTCAACGCACTTTTTATCTACTCCTCATATCTCTCAATAATCAGGTTGACAGAGCATGTAGTACGTATGGTAAGGTAAAAAGGTAAAGTTGTCCCTGTACTTAACTTAGCAAGCACTACGCCATGAAGGCGTATAGGGGAGTGGATGCATGGACCCAAGTCTTCTTGACCTCGGCACCAGATGGAGGTGAGTGGTCAGCTTAACACCCCGGCCGCTTTACCACTGGGGAAAGAGCCCCCAGTATCCATTGTGTAGATTAGGTGGACCCCAAAGCCGGCCTGGAGCACGTGGAGAAGAGAAAATTGACCCTACTGCGACTCGAACTCCGAACCCTCGGTGGTCGAACCCATAGGCAGTCGCTCTATACTAGTACAGAGTGTACAGAAAGTAACTTCAGAGTTTTTAGAGGCTACATTTTCTTATGCACTAAGCACAGTGAAGGAAAAAACGTTCAAATAAAGGTGGAATGAAGATTGGCAGGGGAAACCGAAGTACTCGGAGAAAACCTGCCCCAGCGCCACTTTGTCCACCACAAATCCCACTTGACCAGACCCGGGATCGAACCCAGATCGCCGCGGTGGGAAGCCAGCGACTAACCGCTTGAGCTATGGCGCGGCCCAAATTCCACAGATAATAAATTATTATCGATCATTCGATAACATAATCTCCCAGTAACTGTATTAAAAACTAAACAAACGGATCAAAGTAATTCCGATCTGCGATAAGTAAGCCTATCCATTACTTTGCAGTGAAATAGTCTATTAGCATTGATTGACGAGAACCGCGACATCCGGTGTGATGAAAGTGATTTACTTGCAGAGAAACTCAGTCACAAGCAAAGCATTCCGTCGGATTCCGGATGCGACCGCTATGTGTTTGCGTGAAACAGTGTCTCAAAGGACAAGATCTAAGCTGATTTCGGCGAGGTCAAGAGTCCAAATCATACAGAAGCCCGGATCTTCTCGTTCACAGTACGAGATACATTTCTAATGGGATTTATGAAAATATTATATCTTCTGCGATACAGTGCCGTGCAGTCCGGTGAAAGTCAACAGACCTATCGGAGGAATATGTCGCCACAATCTTCAGGGTTGAGGTGTACGCCAAAGAACACACTACTACTGCAGCTACCTGCTAACGCTGGTTCCTCGCTCGCGGATTTTTAAACCCTGAAGATGGGGGCGATAAGTTCCTCCGAAACGTCGGTTCACACAAGATCTACACGGCGCCACATCCCAGAAGATGGCATCCTTCATAGTCACCGCTGTGAAGCCCTCAAATCTTACACTTGCTGCCTGTTTCATGTTGGTTTCTTGCTTTACTCTTCCACCCTGAAAATTGAGGTGACATGTTCACTCCGAAATGTCAGTTGACATTCACCGGACTATACGGTGTCATATCACATAAGGTGGAACTCTTCACAATCATCGCTGTGAGGACCTAAAATCCAACATTCACTTGGGATTTTCATGGCTGTAAGGAAATAAATTTGTGGTGTTCGGTGTTACAGCCTCATGCGGTTTGACGTTTAACCCAGAAAACCACAGCCTTGGTTATATTCTGTTACACTAAATGAAGAAAATATTATGATATCCACATCGGTTAGACAAATTCGAGGACTGTTGGACTGCAATCATTACTTAAAAACATTATATATAGTATTCGCTGGCAAACTTTAGACAGTATACGGTATGTTGCGGTTGAAATGTCGAAACTCTACCGAGACATGAATCTACGTGTGTCGTAACATTCTAAATTCAAATGCATTTATAAACATTTAACAACATTTCATTAAATATGGTAATATCAGTAAGATCTCCAGCACCGCTATATCATCCCACCGAACTGTGTTACTGTTTCTTCGATAAACTGAAATTAACTCGAAAACTTTCAAAAGTTCTTGAGGCATTATTCGTTTCATACTAACCTTTATTTTCTGAATATTAAATATTAATCTTGATATTTGCCTGTTTACCTTGTCAGTCGGCGGCTAAACTGCTGCTGGACCTCGCCAGCACAGTCATTATTGTTTCAGAGTCCCACGGGACTCATTACCATATTTTATTGTCCCAAGACTCTGGGAGTTATGCAACTCCTGTTTTAACTCGTCAATTATTGACATTTTCTATTGTGTTAGTCGTTAATATTATGGACTAAATTACATGTTACAACTCCATGCAGTTGAAACAGAGTTGTTGAACAATCTAAGAATCTAACAAATATCTGAACAAGCTCTATCGCCAAATCTCTATACACAGCCCAGTGATTCGCAGTTCGTAGTGTCTTATGAGCCACATCCCGCACCATGAAATTACTATCGCCCGCACAAAATGTTTTACGGCTTTTGGAAACATGTTTCATCGCCGCGCGGTTTTACACACACGCCATAGGATATAACTTAGAACTTCGTCTGGTGGGCATCTGTCCACGAACATCGGCCAACAGACGTAATAAATCTCACTTCCACGGATATAAAAATGTGTTGGCAACTGAATACTAGCCGGGTTACTGTTATGTCGAAGCAAACAGAGGCTGCTGCTCCTTCTTTCGTGGATTACTTAATAACGTTTCCAGTACCGAGACCATATACGAGTTGCACGACTCCCAGAGTCGGGAGACAGTAAAATATGGCCATGAGTCCTGAGGGACTGGAGACCAATAATCACTATGTTTCCAGTCAGGTAAAATTCTGCCGGTCCTCGACAACACAATTCTTGGTTCCGAGACCCGTCGGACTCATGATCGTATTTTATTGTCTCACTACTCTGGGAACTTTGCTGGCGTGGACCTGTAGCAATTTACATGACCCGACCAAATGGAGACCATATACACCGTCGGAGGCTTGTGGTATCACCAATCCCGAGTGTGATTGTGTCACACTTGTACCGTATTATCTGAGATGCATCTCTTAGGATACCACTCAAGCTCAGTCCTTTCCTCCTTCCGAACTCATACCACTAATATTTAGCAACCCAGCAGTATCCTGTCTCTTACTCTGAGGTTCTCTCATTAAAACCGTATATGCATCTCTTGTTTGCAATCTAATTTTCCTAGCCCCTCCACTCATTAAAATTACTTGTAGCTAACGAACTTCAAGGCGCTGAGCCCGTCTTCAAAAGCTGCCAGTCAAGTAGCTACTCAAGAACTTCCTAGCATTTTATGGTACAAGAAGGTTCATTACAGTGTTCACAACAGCCCTCCACTGGTCCATATCTTGAACCAGATCAATCCAAGCCATACCATCCCATTTCTCTAAAGGCGCGTCCACATTACACGTGCTCGTGCGTCAGAAGCTTACTGCTGCCGGAAAATCAGGATCTGGAGCTGACGAAGTGGACGCCCAAACTGGTTTGCATACAAAGCCTTCGCATTTCTTCACAACAGATATCAGCTCCAGGTCCTGATTTTCCGGCAGCAGTAAGCTTCTGACGCACGAGCACGAGTTATGTGGATTCATATTTATATTGTCCACCCACCTACGTCTTGGTCCTCCTAGTGATCTCTTTCCTTCTGGCTTTCCCACCAATATCACATTTGTATTCATCTTCTCCCCCATGCCCTGTCCATTTCTTCCTCCTTGACGTGATCATACCTATTATACTTGTCGAAGAATGCAAGTTATGAAGCTCCTCACTGTGTAGTTTTCTCCAAAAACAACACAGAGTTAATATGGAGAGGTTCAATCTCAAGAAATTAAAAGAGGTAGAGAGAAAAGGGCAGTATTGTGCTGAAATTTCAAACAGTTTCGCAGCTTTGGAAAACTTAAACGCTGAGGTGGATATTTTGGAAACCACTGGAGAGGATATAAAAGTTTCAGCCAATCAGAGTCTAGATTATTACGATCTCAAGAAGCATAAGCCATGGTTCGACGAAGGTTGCTCGCTCAGATTAGAACAAAGAAAGCAGGCCAGACTGCAGTTGTTACAGGATCCAAGCGCGTTAAATGGGGATAATCTGAACAATATAAGACGTGAAACCAGCAGGCATTTCAGGAAC